CAGTATGCATATTCTCAACCAACTAAGGCGCCAGAGAGGACGACTTACTCGTATCCTACTCCAGCAGTGAAATTTGAGTATCCAACCAAGCAAACACCACAAAGCCCTAGTCCATCATATCCACAACCCACGAAATCACCGCAAAAAACAACTTACTCTTATACTACGCCGAATGTGAAATTCGACTTAGCCACGAAGTCAACGCCGCAGAAAACGCAGTACACATACTCTCAACCGACTAAAACGCCTGCGAAAACCGCTTACACGTATCCTACTCCATCAGTAAAATTTGAGTATCCAACCAAGCAAATACCACAGAGCCCTAGTCAGTCATACCCACAACCTACGAAATCACCACAAAAGACAACTTACTCTTATACTACGCCGACTGTGAAATTCGAATTGCCATTGAAGTCAACGCCACCGAAAACGCAGTACACATATACTCAACCGACTAAAGCGCCTGGGAAAATCGCTTATTCGTATCCTACTCCAGCAGTGAAATTCGAGTATCCAACCAAGCAAACACCGCAAAGCCCTAGTCCATCATATCCACAACCCACGAAATCCCCACAAAAAACACCTTATTCGTATACCACGTCAATTGTGAAATACGAATTGCCAACGAAGTCAGCGCCACCGAAAACGCAGTACACATATACTCAACCGACTAAAGCGCCTGGGAAAATCGCTTATTCGTATCCTACTCCAGCAGTGAAATTCGAGTATCCAACCAAGCAAACACCACAAAGCCCTAGTCCATCATATCCACAACCCACGAAATCACCGCAAAAAACAACTTACTCTTATACTACGCCGAATGTGAAATTCGACTTAGCCACGAAGTCAACGCCACAGAAAACGCAGTACACATACTCTCAACCGACTAAAACGCCTGCGAAAACCGCTTACACGTATCCTACTCCATCAGTAAAATTCGAGTATCCAACCAAGCAAACACCACAAAGCCCTAGTCTGTCATATCCACAACCCACGAAATCACCACAAAAGACAACTTACTCCTACACTACCCCGACTGTGAAATTCGAATTGCCGACGAAGTCAACGCCACAGAAAAATCAGTACACATATTCTCAACCGACTAAAACGCCAGAGAGAACGACTTATTCGTATCCTACTCCAGGAGTGAAATTTGAGTATCCAACCAAGCAAACATCAAAGAGTCCTAGTCCGTCGTATCCACAACCCACGAAATCACCACAAAAGACAGCTTACTCTTATACTACGCCGACTGTGAAGTTCGAATTGGCAACGAAGCCAACGCCACCGAAAACTCAGTACACATATACTCAACCTGCTAAAGCACCAGAGAGGACGACTTATTCGTATCCTAATCCATCAGTGAAATTTGAGTATCCAACTAAGCAAACACCGCAAAGCCCTAGTCCGTCATATCCACACCCTACGCAATCACCACAAAAAACAACTTATTCGTATACCACGCCAACTGTGAAACATGAACTCCCAACGAAGTCAACTCCACAGAAAACGCAATACGCATATTCCCAACCTACTAAAACGCCAGAGAGGATCACTTACTCGTACCCTACTCCGGCGGTGAAATTTGAGTATCCAACTAATTACGCACTGCAGGGCCATGGTTCATCACATCCACAACCTACGATATCACCACAAAAGACAACTTACTCATATACTACGCCCTCTGTGAAATATGAATTGCCAACGAAGTCAACGCCCCCGAAAACGCAGTACACATATTCTCAATCGACTAAAGCGCCAGAGACGATCACTTACTCGTACCTTACTCCGACAATAAAATTTGAATATTCTACAAAAACACCTATTTCATTGTATTCACAGCCCACAAAATCGCCAGAAAAGACAACTATTCACTTATCTCCTGAAACAGCACAACCGCTTATTCATACGTTCACTTCTCCTACAAAGAAGCTGCCCACCTCTCAAACGTATTCGGCACCCACTGAAAAATATAATCTACCGTCGAAACGCCCAGAGGGAACAAAAACTCCCAGTTACTCATATCCAGAACCGGAGAAAAAATTTGAAGTACCCACAAAACCACCTAAAAATTATTATTCACCTCCGCCAGCAAATAAAGTATACCCAACGTCAAAATTACCACAATCTACTCCTGTAGGTTACCATTACCCCGAGCCGGAAAAAGCATTTAGCTATCCCCCATCTAACAAAGATGTTGGTAGTGGTTATTCGTACCCAAAGCCAGAGTTACCATTCAATTTTTAATGTGATCAAATAATTTTAGATGTAGTCTTTTAGGAGGAATTTGATGATTTCCATTAGTTTCTGATTAATTATTTTTATTTTTTAATAGTGAATGATGAAAAGTTCTTAAAATTTTAATTAAATAAATTATTTTATTATGTAAATAAAAATCGACAATCTTGCGACATTAATAACAAGTCATTATATATAACCCGCGTCTTTAAATAGTTCATAAATATAATGTAAAGTTTACGTGAAATGAACGTTTTTCTAACAAAATAAATTTTTAGTTTCTAAGAATATTAAGTTATTAGTCTATAGATAAACCGCGTGTGCCGAACGAAATTAATGTACAGAAAAAACTTTGCTTGTAGTTGAACAACGATAACTAAATAAAAAAATTCTTTAACAATAGACAGAAAATCATTTTGACGTGTCATTCAATTAAATTCTTAATGATATCGTTTTTTTTTTTCGGGAGGAGCTAATGAAAAGGAACTACACAGATGAAAACTTAGGTAATTTTCTTCAATTAAAGCGTTAAGTTCAGTATGCGAAATATAGCGAAAGAAAGCAGTAATAAATTAAAAAATCTTCAATGAGAGAATAATCGTCAAAGTCAACCTAATCAGAAAGAACTAATTAAGAAGAGCGACTAAGCAATTTTTCGAGATAAGAAACAGTAGAATCTCAGGGATATTTTCTGTTTCTCTTAACCATAATAGTGGTAACTCTGTCAATTAGCAGCTATTTGACTGCTTTCTCTTTCATCCGTTGGGAGAATCCGTTTACAGTGGTACGTGTGACCCGAAATCGGGTAAGTCGTCTGAACAGGTGGAGAGCAACCGCAAGCTAGGATTCCTGTGTATTAGCATGTCGATGATACTTAAGCAGAAAACGTTACCTATTAAAGCTACTATTAAGTAACTCTGAAGCAAAACTTGGAAATGCCAGAAAAACCTGGTTCCTTTGGGAAATGAAATTATACGCTTCGATATAAGGAAAAGTCCGGCTGACTTTTTCATTGGGATTATTGATTGCATCGATAACAAGTCTGACGAGTCTAAAACACTTGCCATGTGCACCGCGCAAGCATCGCGAACACTTTGCGCAGCGATCGTAAGAAGATATCAAGACACAATTTGTATGTAAGCAGTCCACCACTGTTTAACATAAATAAATTTCTATCCTAAAAGTATGTAAAGATCTTAAGCGAAAACTGGGAGACCAATAATGAGTTTATTACTAAAGAGCAAAAGTTAAAGGACGTGGATGTGAAAGCGAAATAAAATAGAGCTGCAATGTGAAAACAAAGCGGACCGTTGCGAAAAGAAGACAAGAAAGCAATGGAGAATAGAAATTATCCAAAAATGAAAATTAATTTAACAGCAATAATAAATCATCAAATCTTTCAGTATCATGCTCTTCTTATTATGGATATACACCGATTTCATTGGCTTATATATGAAAAAACTCATTGAAATAATTTTTTTCATTAAGCTTTTTTTAAATTATTTTTTTATTCTATTATTATTATTATTATTTTTGTGCGTTATATACTTGACAATTGATAATGAGTAGAACTTTTTTCGATATGGCAGATATCAGTGCGCCAAGGTAGATGCATACACAACTAATTCAAGAGATCAAGAGATCTGATGGATAAATGCTTGTAAATTTATTATCATACAAAATCAACGTTACACGGAATGTTTGATGCGTAGTCAACAATTTGATACAAGATCGTTTACGATTTCTTTTCTTTTTCATTTAAAAAAAAATGACTACATTTGTTTTTTAACACTGTAAAAATATGTACGACTCTTAGGTGTAAGGAATGTCCTTTCCGTTTTTTTTCTTTTTATTTCATTTTTCCATTACATTAAACATCTTGGTCTTCGTTTTTTTTTGTTTTTATGAAATAAATAAATTTAACGCAAGTCTAGCAAGAAGTAACACTTGGATGCTTAATAATTCTTTTTCGGTTAACGGGTGTAAATTAAAAGACTTTCTTTTAAACTGCGTTGGACATAATAGCGTCACTGTTAGTAGCAAAATATCTGGTACATATATTGAATTCGTGGCATCTATGCGACGGCTGGGAATAACACTCAGTAAGAGACTAAACTTTAACCCGCCTATGGATAACATCAACGCAAAAGTTTTCTTGGCTGCGTAACTATGCGAGAAATTGGCTTTTGCAAGTTTTGCAGTTACGAAATATTATTATTATTATTATTTTAATTTTAGACTAATGAATTGAATTCTTAGACTAAAAAAAGAGACATTGAGCACTAGCAACACAGGCTATTTATTTATTTATTACGAAATAAATAAATAAATTGATACTGGAAGTGAAGTTTGACCACAAATCCTAGAATGATTTCAGTGTTTACTTGTGTGTGTGTTTTTTTTTTTTTCAAGTTAAGCTTGTTTTTTTCTTACTTAAGAATGGAAAATTTTCGAATTTCTTTATTCAAATTCATACCAATTACCGTAGAACGTTTTGTATGTAATTAAAACTTAATCGCAAAATTTAAAAAACTTGTTGATCTACAATAAATTTGGTTTTCTTTTCGCGTATACGTTATTGTAATCCTCAAGTTTATATGTGAACAATTTTTCTAATACAAGTTATGTCAATTCGGCTGCCGACATGAACTTTTTATTTTCATAGCATTTAAACAGAAACCATTACTATTATATTATATTACGAGGTCATCTTCAACTCGAGCTAAGAATTTCTTCCGGTTGCCGCGTATTCTCCAGATTACTAGGTCCGTTCGATAAAGTCGTATTTAGAGCACTTCAGAGTTTCCCCAAAGATAAAGACAAGCTTGAGCCGCGAGAGCATCCGTAAGCTACCCGATAAGACCATAGATAATGATAATCTGTACAATATTTTGCATCACGTTCGATAAAGAGAAAACAAAGCATCAATCAGAATATGCCCGCCCGTCTGCGTTCGCAAATGTGTCTTTATCTATGATTCGCATTTAATTCGCAAACACCATCTTGCAATTTTAACGGGATGTGCGACTTTGCTTAAAAATTTTACCTTATGTACATAGAGCGGCATATTCAAATTTGGTCGTTAGGTGGGTAGTTGTTGGGAAAGTGCTGCCAAATCTCAAAAAAAAAAAAATGCAATTTGAAACGTACGACATTTATAGTATGATACCTATCCATTCAGACCTGACGTGGGTACGTAAAATAAAAAGGGCTATTAATATATTCGGACACATGCCTAGTACACTTAATTATGACAACTTGCAATTTTTTGTTAGAAGCATAATCTAATTTACCATATACATATGCTCCGTATGATATAAGCGGCACAACAACACATCTAATTAATCTTAATTTGATGAAGATTGGAATATAGGATGAAAGGATGAGAGCCATAGTTTTCTGAAAATATTACGAATACGTATAACCGTTTAATTAACATGTTTCTAACCGTTCAACCGAGAGTTGAGTTTACAACCCAGGTTTGTGACCGCACTAACAAACTCAATGTACTCATCGGGCATTTTAATGCTTTGTAAAGCACAAGAATTATAGCCTTTGGGTGATATTGCATTGGTTTTAGTTTTGGTTGAATTTATCTTTAAACCGTTAAAATCAAATCAGAGAGTAATGCGCTTTAATTCATAATTTATTGGTTGGAGCAGATCGTCCACAAGTCCAAGCGGATGCGAGAGGCATATTTATGCATCATCAGCATGTAAATGAACGCTACAATCAAGACAACAAGCGACCAAGTCATTTACGAAGGTACTGAATAAGATGTGCCCCAAAATGGACTCTTGTGGAACGCCAGAAGCAATCAACCTTAGTTCTGAAGAAGCAACGCTAATTATTACACACTGATACCGCTTTTCCAAATAAGATTTAATTAAATTAACGGCAGACGAACTGAAGCCATAATAAGATTCAAGCTTCATAAATACATCAATCAAAAGTGTAGTAATACTTGGGAGAACCAGCTTGATAAACCTGAAGCCAATATTGTCGTGACCGGCAGAATTTGATTTGAACCTATGCCAGTCATACTTCATTCTCGGTGAGGACTCTACATTGATTCACAAATAAGAAAAGGTTACTACACCCGGAGTTAGCTTTCAAAAAATGATCATTCAATGTTTCGGAGTTAACTTCACTCACTATCGGACCCTATCTAACGCCTACATCGTGAAGATTCTTCCACAGCACCTTAGGTGGAAGATTAACGTCCATCTTCTTATTAAAGTAAAGTCGTTTCATGTGCCTAGTAACACTATGAACCCTACTCCTGCCCCTATGGGAAACGGCCAATGAAGGCATATTTTCAGAATTTTGTAAACCCCGTTACGAAGTCTAATGGCATGACATACATACGGTGAAATCTTGATAGCCTCCATCAGCTATGGTAAGAGTATATGAAGTTTATACGGATGTATGTCGCACCCACAAATACTTGAGATAAACTCCTCTTTTTTTACATTGTTAAAAAAATGCTATTTTTGATGGTTTGAGTTTTCATGAAAATTAGTCAATTTTCTGACAGAAATTTCTAAAGAAAGGGGAAAACCCAATACACATGCATGGCACGTTGCCTGCGTCAGGCAGCTACCGACTGAATTTATGTAGCAATAAGTTACTTACAAAAGTGGACAGAGTGAGTCGAGAAGTCAGTCGAAAGAGTCGAGTCAAGAGATTTGAATTGCAATATTCGACCGGACAAGACTTGAACGAGAAATAAAGCGTTGTAAATACAAGGACCTGTGAATAATTGGTAAATAAATCTCCTTAGAATTGTGAATAAACTCTATACTAACCTAAAAGTCACAATTCAACGGTATGAACTTAATTTCAAGAAGGAATTAAATAAATAAACGTAAGAATCATTAAAGAGAGTTTTTTTTTTCAACACATTTACGCACGTCCATCCGTCTGATTGTTTGGTGTCTGTTCATTCATCTGCTTTGTGTTCAAGCTACAGGTCGTATTTTTCGGCATATTTTGAGTAAATTCGTTTATAGTGACACGAACTCTATTGAAACAAGATTGTTTGGTGACAATCCATTTTTGATATATCGGATTGTAACAATGGGGAATATTTGGGTAGGACGGCACATTTACACCTTTATAGGTTTGAAATTGACAATCAATAGAAAACATAGCGACAAGGATATACGCATTAGAAAGGACTTCTCTCACTTTTACGGTATTTGCTATTTAGGTATTTACGTAATCCGATAAAAATAAAATTTTCTGTTCCTATGCTCATGCAATTAAAAACCGTTGACACCGTAGCCCATCCTGTCCGCTCTCAAGTATTTGTTTGCCTTACCGTATCTTAATTTAAGGCGCCCTGCGAAATGTAGAGGAACTTGTACAAATCTATATATGAAAATAATGACAATAACAATTTTATCTACATATCTGTAGCTAGGAAAGTACGGGAGAGAGATTCAAAATATCGATAACTGTCTGATTGGCGATTATTTGAATGACAACATTTAATGTTTTTAAATTTCTTCAAAATTTCGAAATAATGCAGTCACTTGTTGGCAAAACTTCACTTAATTTATCGAAAATCTCTTCCGTATATATTTTTGAAATACCATTTTAAAGATCTTTCTAAAAATCCGCATAAATAAAATGAAAACAATGTAGTTATGCTGCATGATGTTTAGAAATATCAGATTTCGAGAAAGAGGGGCTTAAAGTTTCAAGAACTGGTATAATGCTATGCGACTATATTTGGAAGATAGAATTTTTCAATCCCTTAGAAGCTTTATCTTTCTTTTTGATTTTTCAGGGAATAATTTAAGCCAAAGAAAGAAAGAAGAAACGATTTTCGGAAAAATCCTTACTCTTTTAAAAAGTGCCTTAAAAATGTTTCTAAGAAACTGACAAAAGAAAAAACACGAGCTCATGGGATTTTTCTTTTAGCGTTTTTTTTATATTTTTTATACATAATTTCTAATTTCGTAGCAAAGAATTAATTCTATATTTGACATTTTAGCACAAAGCACTTTAGTAATAATGAATTAGAAATTCAGGATTTCGTTGCACCAGACTGCGACGCGCAACATGATGCCCGATTTTGTAGCGATAACCTTCAGTAGCAGAAAAGGTGTGGGATGGCGTCGGTTCATCGATTTCATATTCGTTAGAATACGGTGTAGATTGGGAAGAATAAGAATCATATGAACTTGGAACCGTATAAGATGCTAATTGAATAGTAGGAGCTGAGTAAGAGACCGCCGAAGATGAACCAGTAGCTGTTTGGTAATTATGACCCGCAGGAGCTAAATAAGATGTTGCCGAGTTGTCCTCCGCCCCTGTATGAATTTTTGGTGGTAAATACTCTTGAGATGGCGTTGAAAGCTCTAAGTGTGTCTCTCTCTGTGACGGTGAATATGTCGAGGCAAGCAAATGACTAACATCGCGACGACGGCGATGGACATGGTGGTCACCGATTTTATAGATGTATCCGTCAGAGGATGAGTAGGTGTGAGCTGGTTCAACATAATTCGAATAAGACCCATAAGATGGCGCAGCGTAGGAGGCAGTTTGTCCCGAGTAACTTTGTCCAGCGTGTGATGAGTAGGAGTTATAGGCTGGCGTTGAATAAGTGTTATGAACTGATGCCGAATGACTTTGGGTGGCAGGTGCTGAATAACTGTTATAAGTTGAATACGTTTGAGGTGAATGTGCGGGTAATGTAGTATAAGTCGATGCGGAATAATCGCTTTTTTTTACGTATGATTGGGAAGGGGGAACTGAATAAGAAGCTACAGGTGCAGAGGCGGAAGCATGCGATGATGAATAGCCTGATGACAATATGTGGCTGACATCGGCTGTTGCTACGGAAAGTAGGGTAAATACGAACGCAAAAATTTTCTAGAATTGGAAAATATGAAATAAGCATTAAGGCTTGCATTAAGGTTATCTGCTATTAATTTCTCAAGTACTCACCATTTTTGCGATTAATCTTAGATGCCTAAACACAAGTGATGCTTCCATTTAAATTAATAGTCTTTATATAGGAAATCAGAACTTTTTTTTTCAGAGATAGACAAGAACAATTAACATAATTTGTGAAAAGTAGAAAAGGTAATCAAAAGTAAACTTTTTATTTTTTAAGTATCTGCAAAAAAAAAAAAAAAAAAAAAAAATTAAAATCAAGACTTGTTTAAAGCCGGTTGAAATTTTTATAATAGAATCGACCTAATAGTTAAGCTCAAGTCTTCCTCTACCTCAGCGCATCAATGCAAAGCTAAACTACAAATTAGAATCGCAAAACTCGTTTTCCCTCAGCTCCCTTAAAAACAACGACAACGACCAGATCATAAGTGCATACAGTATTTAGAATATTTGTGGCTGTTTTTTTTATTGACTCTGTTGCTTTCTTTACTTCTTGAATGAGTTAATACAATTTTAGTTAATACTTGAATAGGAGTTTTGAAGAAATTGCGAGTGATTTAATTTTTTATTTAGAACCGACGATAGACTACACGTCGTTGTGTTTTGTAATGATAGCCGTCGTCGGTTAACTGATGAGCTGGTTGCGGTTCTTCGTTGGCATTTTCGGTAGGTGGTAAATATTCTTTAGGGGGTGTTGCTGGGCTTAACTCATTGCTTGGTGGCAGGTATTCTCTGGACAGCACGTGACTAACATCACGACGCTGACGATGGTAAGCCAAGCTTTTCGGTATCTTATGATTGTACTCATCATTGGCGGGGTGATGGGCTGATTTAGGCTCATTAATAACAGGATATTCTTTAACAGGGTCGGGATTTTCTTTAAGAGCGTCCCTTTCTTGCTCTTGATCGTGTGTATTATGAACTACTTCAGAATTGACAATACCTTGATCAAGAGGTAATTGTTCATCTAGAAGCAAATATTGTTCGTCAGATGGCTGATCGACGTCCCGGCGTTGCCGACGATATACTAAACGCTTTTGTGTTTTATAACTGTAACCATCAGCGGTAAGATGATGAGCAGGTTTAGGTTCAGCCGTGAGAGGGTTTTCTTCAGCGGGTTTTATAGTCTCCGTGAATGTTCCGGAAGCGTGATCTTGACTAACAAGTGCATTGTGAGCTGTTTCAGTACCAACTGAGTCTTGGCCGATTCTGTGCTCCCCACCTGGAGGTAAATAATTATTATTGGGTACGTGGCTGACATCACGGCGTAGACGACGGTAGACTAAACGTTTTTGGGTTTTATAATGATAACCGTCTGGAGTAAGCTCGTGGCCAGGCTCTGCAATTGTTGACTGCTCATCAGTTTGGTTCTCATGATTGATAGATTGTGTATTATCTTCCTCCTGGCTGGGAGGTAAGTATTCTTGACTTGACAAATGATTCACATCACGGCGTTGACGACGGTATATAAAACGCTTTTGCGTTTTATAACGATAACCATCGTTTGTAGTTTCCGCATCGGCAATTGGTCCCGAATAATCTTCGGTCGACGCAACTGAATTTTCTACTAATGGGGACAAATATGCATTTGAAGGTGACAAACTGACGTCACGCTGTACGCGATGCGGATTTTTGTAATGGTAGCCATTATCGGTAAGTACATGAGCTGGAACCGGTTCGTTTATAGCAGCTTCGCTCAAGACAGGCGGATATACATTGGTGGGATGACTATCAATAGTTTGTAAAATTGGAGATGCGGGAATATGATCAGCATTCTCCTCAGGACTTGCTGCTACTGAAAGAGCGGGTGGAGGTAAGTAACCTTTGGTAGGCAAGTGACTTACATCTGCCGACGCAATAGCAATGGTAACTAAAGCAATAAGGAACTGCTTCTATTAAATCAAATGGAAAAAGAAAACATTTAACAAACTTAATATAAATTAAAAGTTTTCTTATATTTTTTATTTTTTTTTTTTTTTTTCTATAATCCTACCATTTTCGGCGATTTTACAAAGTTTTGCTTACGTTGTGGCGGACACAAAACTAGAATGATTATGAATCCAAATCTATTTAACTATTTATACAAGTTCTCATATAATTTGACAGCGAATGTAATACACAAGAGTTTCGTTGAATGTGTCTAATTCTAGCAACAACAATGTTAATAGCAGTTTTAACATTCAATCGGGATCAGCTGTAATTTCGCATAAAGTCTAAAGAAGACGTTAGTTTAAAGAATAACAAAGACGTTAACGTTCACATGTGCTCACATATATAGAACTTTTTATACAAACTCGATTTTGAAGCGTAGATCGGTCACACACGCTTACTCATGTTTCGAATTTTACAAAAAAAAAAAAAAAAAGAAGTAGAAAAACAGATTACGGTTTTGTTTAAGTTGTTATCTTTATTGTCTACGTTTGCTCACAATGCGAGTTCTTTTAACAAACGATGAGCATTTAGATTTATTTATCAATTTAATTATCGAATTTTCTTCTTTCAAATTCCTAGCTTGGGAATGGAAGCAATTGCTCACGATCTCATTACTCCGTTTAATGGTTTCAATCACCTTCATAGTCTATACGTATACAAATAGATGGAGAGAGACAGAGAGAGATAAAGAGAGAGAGAGAGAGAGGGAGGGAGGGAGTGTTAAAGAATCATTTATCATTGAGAAATTCGAAGAAGTAAATAAAAGGCAACAGAATCATTAAAAAAAAGGAAAAAAACTTAATAATTTCGATTATGATTACAATCTCTTCTTCTTGTTCCAGATAAAATAGACAACTGAGATTGGTATGTTTGGGCATATATTTCAGTATATTGAAATTCAAAATAAAATAGTGATAAAGTAAATTCCGTTCCGACAAGGTTTTCTTGCCAACCTTTTATCCTGAAAACACTTAAACACTTTTTTACTTTACATTTTGTACGTTCTTCTTCTTCTTCTAATAGCTTTCTCTGGGCTCTCATCTTTGGAATTGTGGAATTTTAAAATCCATAAAATTTATATTAAATGCAAATTAGTGAACGGTTTATGTTAATTAGCAATTAGTATTGCGAAATTCAATTGATAAGATTCGTTCGGAGACAACATTGAACCATTCCATCTTGTTATGATATTATTTGAAAATAAGGCTATTAAAAGAAATGTGCTTCAATATAGGACGCCCACCAGTGAAGGGCAGTTTATTTACTGCAACTAATCGGGAGCATATACCTAGAGTCTATTCTCAGATTTCTCTGCATTCTCTTTATAGCTTTCTGAATATTTTTTTTTTTTTTTTTTTTTTTTTGGTTTAAAAAGCACAGTGGAAAGTTGCCTTCACGGGTCACTTTAGCAAGCGCTTACCTTGAGTGTTTTGCATAATTCGACTCTTGACTGCCTCACACAATACAGCTCACTGAAAGTCTGAGAGAGCGACAAGTCTTGTATTTGAATAATAAGCAGTTGGCTTCGTGCCTTTGATGTTTTATGCCCACAAGAATGTCAATGCGGGAGAATATGAAATTATACTAAATTGGTTAGTTTGTTTGTAACATTTACGAATGTACACATCAAAGAGTTACGAGCAGATTTGTGTTAATTGCGTGACCATCTGCCAGCCGATTTAATTGGTGTTTCTTATAACTTACACCATTTGTGAAATAAGGTTAAACTAAGTTGGAGTGGACATCTGCAAGCCACAGGAGGAGGACTCAAGATGGACGCAACTTTTTCTATATGGCGATCGATTCAGAGTCACTATCTGCATCGAACTAAGCTTGTGTATCCGTCTGTCTTTTTTTTTTTATTATTTTCTTGTGTTCAACTCCGGGCTCCAGGTCGGAATTATTCCGCAAAACACCTTATTTTGAAAAGTTGTTATATGAACAATTGCATTAAGCGAAATGGTGTAGGGTACATTATAGTGAACGGTGTTCCGCTGTAGTCTTTGTGCTTTGTGGTTTTTACCTAGCAATCTAAGATAAAAAAAAAAGCTCATGTATTCAGCAGGGAAGTCAAAAATGGCCTTTGCTCAACTCATTGAACTGTTCGCCAACTATGTCCAGCGCATAACGATGAGCTTAGTTAACGTATAAATGTCGGATTTAGTGAAAGTACGATTTCGATTCTTTCAGTTTACGATTGAGGTAAGTATTAAGAGAGCAAATGTTCTTGTTTCAGAAGATTATAATAAAAATGTGTAAAGCTGATGTTAATCAGCTAAATAAATCGTGTTAGATGTGTAAGACATAAAATATTGTTGAAATAAATCAAAATTCAGGTTTCAAATAAATCAAAGCTTAGGGCAATTGCTTGTAGAATGGCATAGCAACTCTTCTTTATCGAAAAGATTTTTTTAAAGTTCATTGATCTGATCTTTGTTTTGTAAAATTAATTATATGTGTTTTCCTATCCATAATCTTTGCTTGAGGGCACGCTAGTCTTACTAATCTGTTTGAAACAGCTAGAAAGCGTACGACATATATACATTTTGATTTGACTCGTTTTAACCGTGGCCATCCTTATACCTTTTTTTTTTTTTTCCAATTTTCGAAGGCAAAGACAAGCAAACAAACATGAAGTACAGAAAACTGAAACTCGACTCAAAAATATTTCATTTCGTTCATTTTTATGAGTTAGGTTGAAAGTGGGGCATTGTTTGTGCACAACACATATCCATACAACAATTGTTGTGGCTCGCAATTAACGCAAATCGAAAATTGTAACGCATTTATGTTGACAACACGTTTATTGCACGTATCGATCAAAGTGCAAGGCTGATGTGAAGGCTGAAATTACTCCTGATTAGATAATAGAAAACTATTTCAAATAGTGGACATATATGATTCGCTTAATGGCGAATATTTTTATTTGATTTTTTTTTCTTTTAACTTTTTAATACATATATATATATACACATATATAATTGATGTTGCTGTTGTTTTTTATTTTTTTTTTTTTTCTTTAAATTTTTCAAAGATGCCGTTCTTTGCTTAAGATTTTTAATATATGTTTTCGGTTTTTATTAAAAAAATAATTAACAATTTATCATAGTCAGGCAAATTTGGGAAACGGCGACGGCAACATGGAGATCAATTTTTTTCGAATCATCAATATTATACGCGTAACTAAACAGAAGTGCGATCATCTCGCAATATCGCTATATCGATAAGCATAAGTATGTATATGTAATGTAAATTTTTTGTCTTCTCTGATTTACATTTCCGTTTTTCCTTCTTGTTTTGTGTATTGTAATTAAACCAGTTGTTAATGTATGCTTTAAGCCTTAGCGTTTTGCTCATTTCATAGAAAGCTATAGCTTTAGAGGATACATGCAGACACGCGATTATACTTAAACTTTGCCAATTCGATCAGCATTGTCCTCTACGTAGAGGAAACATTACGCGTAGCTCGCACTCCTTTAATGGACTATGTTGCGCTTAATTTATGATCGGCTGAAACGAGGAGGCCATTGGGGCGGTTTGGTACTCATTACTGAATTTGCGTGCGTATTATTTCAACTTAGCGCCGACAATAAGTAACTAACCGTATATTGTATTGAACAATATCATGGTTGCTTTTCATATCTAGGTTTTATCCGTAGACATTGCTCTTCATTGCACCTTACTTGGCCGAAAGTGGCATGAGACAGTCCTTCAATTATGAATAGCTTAAATGCTTATACGCCACAAGGTCCCGATTTATCAGAAATAGCATTTTTCTTCTTCAATTGGTTAAGAAGCGCTACTGAGTGCTGGGAAACGGACAGGATAAAATGGCTGAGGCTATTAAAATATTGCTACAGGGCAGGTGAATCGCTAATATCGTTAGATGTCACACTTGTCACATTCATGTTACCAACACTTCACATGATTAGGATTATGAGGGCGGGCGATTGGATCATTGGCGTTCGCGGGTCTGTGTTTTTAGCGAGAAAATATGTCCTGAAGGCCACGCAATAATTTCAGATTATTTGCAATTTCAAATTCTCGAATCCGGATGTGATACGTCGCGCTATCTTTTGCAACAACGTGGATCACCAACATTTCAAATCATTTTTAAAATGCTTGAAATATCTCATGTATGTTATTTGATCAAGGCAAAATTCCGGATCGATTTTAATGAAAGTCTTTGTTTTGACCGAAAAAGTTACTATTTTCGTATGGAGGACAATAACCCGATTTTTTGGGTATAAGAAATTCGGGTAAAGCCAAGCGGCACGCACATCTTATTTCATTTTTCTTATTGCTATGCTTACTTTTGCAAAGCAAAAATGAGTCAAATTAAAAATTTCATAATTTAATATCATAATTTAAGTTAATTACATGTTGTTGATATCCCCATATTAATTATAAATAATATTAATATAAAATTAACAAATCAAAGAAAACAACAAAAAAAAAAAAAAAAAAACACACAAATCGGTCGATATGATTTCCACTTTGTTATCATTTTAACATTAGCTTCAAATTGCAAATAGATATCTAGCAGAAATTATCGACTATAGGTAATAGATGAAATTGTGATTATATTTTAAGCAGTTTCACGATTTTCAACTACAAGTTACGTCTATTTGTAAACATAGTCTGTGATGTAAAGCTAACAATATATCTTTCTGGGACGTAAAACATCTTAAAGTCATGGTTACAACTTGTTAGACACGGATAAATTGGTTAGAAATTTTTGGCCAAAGAAGAAAAGAATAAATCAATAGGCGCAGGAACTTTGGAATTTTCATTACATTCAAAAACGCGCTCACCAAATAGGCCGACGTTCGTCTACAGATATAAATATCAAATCACTTACGAAGTCATCGGTTTGACAGCACTCTTGGTATGATGTTGATGATTTCTGCATAGTATCAACTTTCGAAAGAAATGGCTCAGCTCAACATTTCGTCATATTCTGGTCATAATTTTAAAAGTAACAACTTGTGTTGCTAAGGTTACTCTTTTGGTTGCTTGGGAAAGCACTCGACTGACTGCCGGTTTGATTCTCGAGTGTAGTTATGAAGCCATGTTTCATCCTTTCATTCTCATATAACGCATGAAAAAATTTCCTTTAT